GATAAACATACATACATATATATATATATATTGCATTTTCAACACAAAACAAAGTATTCTAACAAACATCTCAAAAATTTTAGGGCATATCATTCATCCTTGATAATCATTCGACTAAACTCACAAATCACACATGTTCCACTATGCCTCCACAAATAATGCATAACAAATTAGGCTTACCCTTAAAACCACTACAAAGTTAATCTCCATTGGCACACCATAATTACCAAAGCATCATATCAAATTCAAACTCACCTTTACCTATTTGAGGCTATATCATCAATCATAGTTCAAATCATAATCATAGAGTGGTCCTCCCTATATATAATGAAATCACGTGTGGTGGCCAGCTAACAAAGCCCAATTGTGCTCAGGGCTAAGCCGTTAATGAAGCATCAAATCATGCAGGTGCCAAAAAATTGAGCGAAGGGTCAGATCATGCTCAAAGTTGAAACATCTAGTAGAGAACAAATCATGCTCAATGTTGAAGCAACTTACGGAGAATCAAAATCATCATTTGGAGCTACTCGATGGATGGCATCAAAACACTATAGGCAGGAATCACAAACAGGACTAATTCCACTGTCCCTGTTTACCACCATCCCTGTAGGCATATAACATAGTCATAAGGAATAAGACTCCATTCAACCTCAAATCAAATCGATGTCCAAAATTCTCATCGACGAACAGAGTACAAATCCACAAATAAGGCCATCATGCCTTTGATATCACATATATATGACATTCACATCAAATATCACACTTAATGTGCTTCGAACACTAATTAGCTCAATATTGTTCTATGTGTCCTTAATCTTCCAAGGCATCAAATACTCATAATCTTCCGAGGGGTTAATAGTCTTGAGTAAACTACTCCTAGACATTCATCACGTTCACTAGACCTTTAGTCTAGGCTCTAACATATGCCACAATGTGGCTTGCACTAAGGCATGTATACATATCACATGTAACATACACACACACACACATAAAGAGTTTACTAGCCTAGGCATATTCCTTTAGGCATATGTTAGGAATTTTGAGAATATGGTGTCTTGGAAAATAAGTATATTCTCATGCTTAATTTCAGTAAATTTATTTATAATGAAAGTACATTTTGATAATAAGACGAAGAGTTTGTTTAAGTAAGCATTCATTGTCTAGTTATTTAGATACCAAGATTCTATTGAGATATTAAAATGCATTTGTATGAAAGTTATACATAGGAGACATGTATTTTAATTAAATCTAAAAATTATACACAATTACATAATAATACTGGTCACTTTATTATGTTAAGGCTGTAGTGTCTAGATTACTTCCAATGAAATGATTGCAATTCATTTCAAGGGAATGATGAGTCTTAAATCATTAAAATGGTCGATTTCGAGAAATGACACTAGAACATGAATTGAAATCATGTGAGAATCAAATTTAAGTTTTACCATTACGTAAATCTTGATCTCACACTTATGCATTTGCTTATAGTAGAATCAAAATCCTAATAGATAGTGGACTTGTGTTTAATCTCCTTATAATCTTTGTTTTACCATGAGCATGATCATCATAAAGGGTTGATCTAGACTTTGTATTTTGAGATTATAATCGAGATGAACATCTAGGAACATATATCCAAATAATGGAGCTCATAGCATTAACATCACTTCTAATAATTTCAAGAAGATTGGTGATTAATCTAGGCCTAATGGATTGATGAATTAGCTACTCATCAAATCTGGATATTCAAACAATTAGATCTAGAGTGTTGAATCACTAATTGGATGAAATTTGAGGCTAGGGGATAAAATTAACATATGGGTGAAACGATAATTTCACTTTTTGTCATTTGATGGTTATGAGGGTTCACAATATAAGGTTTGCAATTAGACAACTAATAATTACTATCAAGTGTGAATTGTTTCTTGTAATTATAGTTAATCCAAGAGTGCAACCATCAATCTATGGTGGAATAATTTTATGGTTAATAAGCTTGAATTATTTTTAATGAGATTAAGAACAATTCTAAGTTTATTGGAGCTTGGAATATCTGTCCAAATAGATTCCCTACTTAGCTTCGTAAAATTCAACTTGTTTAAGTTAGAATGCATGTTTTAATTTAATTAATTAAATTATATAAGAAAATGTCAACTTTCACATGTTTGTCTTAATTTAGACAAGAAAACATGTTTAGTCTTAATTTAGACAAAAAAATATGTTTGTCTTAATTTAAGACAAGAAAAATATTTTTTGTCTTAATCTAGACAAGAAAACATATTTGTCTCAATTTAGACAAGATAATATATTTTTGACTTAATTACAGACAAGAGCTGTCTTAAATTAAGATAATTTTAGGATGATTCTTGCAAAATGAATCTAGACATCCATGTTGATAATAGAAGACTTCATGTTTGACTATTACTCTTTTATTTATTATTAATTTTTTTAAAAATAAAAATAGATAATAATAAAATAAGAGTTATTATTCAATAAGGAGTTTAATTTTATTAAGAACTCTAACTGATAATTAAAAAATTAAACGATTTATTCCTTAATTTTAATTTTTATAATTATAGAGCATATTTGATGCTTCCATAACTCTGAATGAATGGTCAAGATTGATTCAAAAGTATTTCATTTTGATTAAACCTTTGAAACAAAAGTTTTAATAAAAAAAGAAAAGATTGGAAGTAAAATAAGAGAACGTACTTTTTCTTAAAAAAGTTTCAACGACTCATTCTCTTCTCCTCTTTCAAGTTTTTCCAAAGAAAAGAGAGACAAACTTGGTTGCCATCTTGTAGTCTTCCATTCCACACTTTGTCCACTCAAGGTTCAAGTTGAAAGTATTCTTGAAGAATAAGTAGTAAACTTGTTTGGTCGAGAAATCATTTATTGGCGTGGTGGTGTCCAAAAATAAGAATCTCAAGATAAAAGGTATGATTTTTCTTACTTAATAGATTCTTATTTCTTTGGATGTGATTATGTTATTTGTAATAATAATAATGTGTGTTTTCGCTTATGCAATTGGATTGCTTGCTTCCTTTAAAAAAGAAATTTTTGAAATCCATGCTTTACACAATCACATTAATTCACTAAGATCCTACTCCAATAGCATACATACATCATTCAAGTACCATGGTCATGCAATAACAATGCTTTTATTTGCATAACTAAACCTGTTCACAATGACAGTCGAAGGCACTCCCACAACCAAGCTTAACTTTCCAGCCTCCAACCATTCTCTAGCTTACCAATGTGTCAATAGCTTTATTTTCCCCTTAACAAATCAAAACGAAAGTTATTTCTTAGCTTTCAAAAATTTTTAGTTTTTCAACTAGACTTTAATCTAACTACTCATAGTTATAAAACCTAGGTTTCAAAACTTAAGTTCAAAAGCTTAAATCCTTACCTTAAATGCTGGGTTACCCAAATCTAAACTCCAAATCTTTAGCAAAATCAAGGGAAAAATCACAACAGTTGGAACAAATAGGTTTCAAAGTCATAAACCAATTAAATCGAAAATCAATTAGTAGAAATGCTTAATTTTACCTTTAGAGTGATTTCTCAAGCTCCAATTGTTCACTTCAATTGAGCCCAAAAATCATATTAGAGCTTATGGTTTTTAGTGGGTAGAGAAGGGGAAGGGTTTTATTTTGTTTTAAAACAAATGGAATATGCCTTAGGCTCTTTTTATTTTATAATGCCCAAGTATGTATCGATAGATTGGTGAATGTATCAATACATTTGCATGATTTCCCCTGAAATCAATTAATACATAAGGCAATGTATCGATAGATTTCAAACAAAATGCTCTTTGTTCGAAATTTATCAATAGATTTGAAAATCTATTAATACTTTTCCCATAGAATATCTCCTGCTTCAAATCTAACGATACATTTGGATAATGCATCGATAGATGTTCATCCTAATTCAAATCTATCAATCAATTCTTGAATGTATGGATAGAAAATTCTCAAATTGCCTCATATTATTTTTCTTGCCAAGAATGTGTCGATACATTAGTGATCGTATCCATACATTTTCCCCCTATATGGACATTTTCAACACTCCAACTTTCAAAAAAATTTCAAATTTTAACACTCTAAATCATTCTCTATTCAAATCATACCTCAAACAGTTATTATAACTCAAAATTCTCATACATTTATCCTCAAGCACATGATCAAATTTAGTCTAAACCTCAAACTTTAAGATTCATTAATCATTTTTCATAAAAATTGCTTAAGTGTTATAATATAGGCTTCATATCTCATAATCTACATCAAAATCGAGAGTGTTACATTGTAGCTCTTTCAATTAAGTTTAGAAGTACTATCTTCATCTAATTTATCATGTTACCTGTAATTTAATTAAGTGCAAATTGCAAAATGTATGGATGTTGCTAAAATAGTTTTTCAATGTAAAAAGACATTAATTATCATCATACTTTTAAATTATACACATAATTTTATTCATAAATAAAAAAAATAAATCGAGTTATATTTTTGGATGACTGAGTTATTAAATTAAATATGAATAGAGTGAAAATTGATCTTCTAACAATTACAAAATTACAAAATTCGTGATGTTAATGTATATGTATTTATATAACTTAAAATAGAAAATTTTAAGAAAATACATAAAGTAAGTTGGTATGTGCAACCCACGTGAGACTCCATGTCCAATCTTTTTTATGATTGAAAATAGATAAGAAGAAGCATCAAAAAGGGCTTTTGCCTTTTTGGTGGGTCGTTGACTTGGTTTTAGGGGCAGCAGGTAATTTGAGTTCGTTGTTGGTAGGAGGAAGCCCAGAGGGCAATGTCAATGTGATGAGGAAACACTGAGTTGGTCAATGCGATGTGCTGAATTGATAACGGAAAGAACAAAAGCCGCGAGCAGTAAATATAAAGACATAGGCTTTCTCTTATTACTACGAGTAAGTATTGCTTACTATAATAAGGCAGGACATGTAAGTAAGTATACAAATCGAGGGTCAAATTTCCCCATCAAATAATAATATGATGATATCATATCGTCATCCCTCCTCCAAAGCTTCAGCTCCAAAGTCCGAACCCTAACAATTTAAATCGTTGCTACTAGCAATTAATTATTAATTACTGGTACTTTTAAAAAACATCTAATTAAGATTCTGTTTTAATTGTTCAGTTGTCCATCCAATGTCCATCAGGACTCAGATCTAAGTCCAGGCTTTCTCGTTTTGCCGTTTCCTAGTATTTGTTATTTGTTAGGTGGAGTAAGTTAGTCCCACATTGGGGGCTATTGCTAGGCTTATATTTTTCAGGTAAATAACCAAAAAAAAATTAATAAAGAAAGGAAAATGGAAGGGAATTCTGGAGGAGGGGGAGGAGGAGGAGGCAGCAGCGGAGCAGACAGAGGAGGTGGAGGTGGAGGAGGAGGAGGAGGAGGAGAAAGAGGAGGAAACGACGTGGAGCTGGTTTGCAAGACACTTCAGGTAGAACACAAGCTGTTCTACTTCGATCTCAAGGAGAACCCGCGCGGGCGTTATCTAAAAATCTCCGAAAAGACATCCGCTACCAGGTCCACCATCATCGTCCCTTCCTCTGGCATCTCCTGGTTCCTCGATCTTTTCAATTACTACGTCAACTCCGACGACCACGACCTCTTCAGCAAGGAATTGCAGCTCGACACTAAAGTCTTTTACTTTGACATTGGCGAGAACCGCAGGGGTCGTTTCTTGAAGGTACACTCTCATTACTACATTCACTCAACCACCTCTTATTATATTTAATTTCCCTTCGCTCTAAGCAAATTCCGAAACGCGATTTTAATATAGTAAACTATGAGGACAGAAGTTACAGAAACCAAATAACTGGAAGAAAGATAAACTTCAGGTCATGAAGAAATCTTGTTTCATGTTGGTGATATTACCAGGCAATCATTCTAAATTTTTCCTTGATTCACTTTCCTTGTCCCACAACTGCCGTTTATTGTTGTTTTCTCTTTTGATGTTAAGATTGTCCCATAGGGCCTAATTTGTGCACCAATGTTCTCTTTCATATATATGAGGTTGACTTTTAGTAGAATCGTTTTGGCTCTTGGATCTCTTCTTGAATTGGAGAATGGCATTCTTAGCTATGATGTTATTAGACCTAAGCCTTAGCTTGATAGCACTTTGAATGCTAGACCCCTTTTGTATTGTTCTTGAACTAGCTATTGTAAATGTTGAACCATTGCGGTTATCATGAGCCCCATCCTTATTAGAATCAAGACTGGTCAATGATAAATGTTGTCTTTCATCAACTGTGGTCATTGCCGCAATGGTTTCTTCTTCAGTGATTGAAGGTCACCCATGATTAAGTTGAAGACTAATTGTGACCATGCTTTCTTAAAAAATTTCAATTTGCTGTTCTTCTCTGCTAGATAAGCAAATAGATGAATATGAACTTGCTGGACTTACCCATGCTGGAGAAGTACAAAATCATAGAAGGAAATTTCACTTGATTAGAATGACTTCCCGAAAGCAGCTTGTGAAGGAAATATGCACATAGCTTTTAAATGTACATCTCCAACACGTTGAGAGCAGACTCTGGAAACTTTTTTCATGTTTGAACTGGACTCATGAGTACACATTTTCATTGATAAGTTTTAAAGTGGAAACCTTTTACCTGAGATGAGTCTATTTAGCACTCCTTGAAACAATGAAATTGATGAATTCTCTTTGCATGAGAGCTACATTTTTTCTTGTTAATGAAGCTTTTTTTCCATACCTTCAATTCAATGGTTTGTTGTAACTCCAAATTTATCTTTATGAGAATGATATCAGCTCTTCCAATAAATGAAGCTTTTTTTCCATACCTTCAATTCAATGGTTTGTTGTAACTCCAAATTTATCTTTATGAGAATGATATCAGCTCTTCCAATTCAATATTTGTTGTCTTTGAAGCCTGAAATGTTGTGTTTGATTCTGTCAGCCTTCTGGCATGAATTGATGATTTTATTCCCAAGCAACCATAATGTTGCCTTGAAGCTCCAAAACACTTGTTTCCAGCACCATGATTTTGGTTTTTATTCACTTCATGGTACATGTGGCTGCTTGAACCTTTGATCAGCTTCTTTTCCATACTTTCAAGTGAAACGTTTGTTGCAACTCAGGATTTTTCTTTCATAAGAATGATATTAGCTTCTCAAATTAAATATATCTTGTCTACAAAGCCTGAACTTTTGTGCATGATTGTCTGAGCCTTTCTTGCTAGCATTGATGATCTTATTCAGAGCAACACAATACTGTGTTAAAGCTCCAAATATCTAGTTCCTAACTTCCTGATTTTTGTATGTAGTTTCGTTGCAGTACTGTGGCTGCATGATGGCAAATAAACGAGAAAAAAAAAAAAAGAAGCTGTGGCTGCTTGAACCTTGCATCTTTAATCATCTTGTACTTTGTTGATTCTTGCTTAAAAATTAAAATTTTCCCTTCCAACTTTTATTTCTTATAAACTCTGCTATCTTTACCTTCAATTAGAGGTTGCAATTGGATGGGTTGGGTTAGGTTTGGATTTAGGCATTTCTAGTTTTGACTTCTTAGTCCATTTGAGGTTTTAGGTTGATAAAGTTCAGGCTGTTGCCTTTGAGTCTATTCTTTTAGGGTTAGATTGGGTTAGACTAGGTCTTTGGTTTGGGCTTAACTTTTTCCTGTTACTTAGCCTGTAGATACTAACTGTGTTCATATCTAGGCTAGGTTGTTTTGAGACATATCAGGTTTGGTGTTATTGATCTCTGTAGTAAATTTGGATTGCTTAAGTAGAGTTTTGGGCAAATTGAGTGCGTCAGTGGAGTCAAGTTAACTTTTGCCTTCTTGACTTTATGAGTTTTAGTAAGGGACATCTCAATAACAACTTGGAGCACAATAAGGGTGGAAAAACATTGATTCTCCCCATTTCATCTTACTATCTGCAAGATTCTTCAAAAGCAGAAATGTCTTCACATGTCTAATTTCATACCAAGGATAACAATAAATCTCTGGCTTTCTCTTCGAATTGACCTTCATCTTCATCTAACTTGCCATGATGTCAACTTCTCATAGTCATCATTAAACTATTGCTCGAGAATTTTCTCACGCCTCTTTTTTCCTGTTATTTTTTAAAATATTATTTTCCCACATTATGTGTTGTTATTTGATGATTGCCCTTTTCTTGAGAGGAATTCTTTCTTAAGCCCCAGCTTCATAAGAAAATTTCTACAAAAACCAACCACAAATCTCAGTTTTTTTAAGCCAAAACAGGTTGCTGTTACACGTATTTACTGATAAAGGAGACAGGTCAGAGGCTGAACCTATTACCAATAAAACACAGACTTGGACAGACCCAAGCTTTGTTGATTTCCAAACTTGACATATTAATAGATGAACAGGTGGATTCACATGCCATCAAACAACCCCTGATGCAAGTTCCTTTCCTTTATCCTAAGATATCAAAACTGGTTTAAAAAAAAAAAAAAACTAAAATGACTGCAAAGAAATTCGAAGGAAGAACCTACTGATCTTGCAAGGAATGCAAGAAAGAGTTCAAATGTCAAACAAAATAGAGACGGGCAGCCATGGAAGGGGTATTCTTTGAATCAAAGGGATAACTGCTATTTCTTCTTCTTCATAAAAACAGAGGACATAGGAAGCTTCTCTGTTTTTGGGTTTCTCTCTCCTAGTGCTGGGCTACTTCTTTCATTTAAAGGCATGAATTCCATCAGAAAGAAACATCAGTCTGATGAACAATCAGGCTAATTTAGTTGAAAGAAATGTTGATGCAAGGGTAGGAGGAAAAGGTATTTTGATTGGAAGGGAGGGATCAATTGCAAAAAGAGATTGAAAAGGGTTAATGGTGTAGAGAAGGAAAGAAAGTGCAGTGGAGGAAGTTAGGACTTGCTATGGGAGAGGTAGGGTGGAAAAGGTTGTAGAAGCCTCAATCTTGGCAGTGACTTTTGTTTCTCTATTATAGAGTCTAGGTTGCTCTAACAGCAGTTTTGTTTCTTTCTCCTATGGTAATGGCCACCCAAGGAATTGGTAAAAGTTCATTGTTTCTAGATAAAAATAAACTCATCTCTTAAATCTTGCATATGATATAATTTCTGGTTGAGCTTACTGAGGAAATACCCAGTTCATGATAGTTTGTTATAAAACACAAAGAAGAAATATTTGGTGCATTGGTTTCTGTCTACAAATGCCCCTAATATTCTACCATAAACTTACTCTTCAAGTAAAATTGCTTCTAAAATATTTCTAAACCATGTAGCATCCTACTAATACCTTAATTACACTTTAGAAGTAAAAGAAAAGATAACTCGGATTTAAATATAGAAGAAATAAAAACATACAAAGTTTTGCTATTAAAACCTATTCAATTGTTTTGCACACACAGAAAAAAAAAAAAGAAAAACTTATTCTATGGTTTCTTTTTGGTAAGTAAGTAAAATCTTATCCCCAACAAAGTGAAAAGAATACCTCTTACAGCACTAAAACAAGAAACTGAGCTTATGTATGTGCAGTAAGTACTGTATTCTAACAAGAATATAAAATTCAAAAGTTGATACAACAGTTTTTAATCGTTTTGATGAAAGCAGCTTCATTAAAAATTTCTTCTTGAAAGTTGTCATTCCTCTACTTCCACAAATGCCAGGCAGCAAAAGTTTAACACTGTATCATATTTGTAAGGATAGAGTTTTAAATAGCAGTTTAAAATAAATTATTAATGTTACCAAGAGGTATTCCTTTTATTTTTGTAGCAACAAAGAAGCTTCCCAAATTGTTCCAGTGGCATCACGCTCAAAAAAATAAATGTTTCTCAAATTTGAGTTCTTATGATATGCATTCAGAGGTTTTGATCAAAGTTTGTCCTTTACAAATGCTTTCAGTTTGCAATGGTTTTGATTGAATAATCTAAGGTGGCGTATGTAGATCCTTCTTTTTATAGAAACTAGTCTTTTGAGTTGTCAGGTTGAATTTGTGATCTCTTCAGCTGGATAAATCAATACTTGCAACTTTCTTCCAAAGAATGCTTCTCAAGATTGCACAGTTTCAATCTTCTCAATCCTCCACAAATTTCTTCTTTTCTTATGAACTTTTCCTTTTTGCTTCCATGGCTTGAGAAATAACTTTTTAAATGATAGGTAAGCAATCAATTTTGGGGACTGTTGAATATGTTTTACAATCAATGTTTTCCCTTCACGTCTATTGGATTTTGTCATAATTGTTCTTCCTTTCTTTCTTCCTCTGCTTGAAAAGCAACTTTTGCTACGATGTGTAATTGACTGGTTGATGGCAAATAATACTTTGCTTATTTTTTTCTGCCAATCTTAATTTGAACTTAAAGCAGCTTTTCTGTTCTCCTACCTTGAATATAAATTATGTTTTGATCCTTAGATAAGTTTAAAAGTAAGCATTATTCATCTTCTCTAGTATGAACAATATTTTTTCATAGTGACAAGAAATATTTGATAGCCAACAATCTTCTGAATCTGGTTTAAGAATGAATTTTCTCTTACCTTGTTGAGCCTTATACTATAATAATTATTCTACTAAGTCTTCAAAATTGTAGAATGCAATTAATTTTAAGAATCTTCTACTGGATCAGAAATTTGTGATCAACGTAGCATTTGGTAAATGCCCTTGTACTCATTTTGATACTAACTGTTGCTGAATGAAAGTAAAGAGGCTATTTACATGACTTATCAACTTGTGAAAACACAAAGGTTAAGCATCGTATTTTTATAAATTCTGAAAATGATGAACAATGGTTCACACGCCCCCATCCCCGGCCCCCCGGCACCCTTTCAATATGCTTATTTCTATGCCAAAAACTATAATCTAAAAACTCCTAAAGAATTAACGCCCATTTGATACCACAATTCGGCAAATAATGCCATGGAAGCAATTCAAAACAAGAAATTTAGATTCTATATGATAAAAGTTTTGATAAAATGAATCCAATGACTATGATCATATAGCAAAAATTGTTTTACATCTAGGTTTCTAGGTGTCTTGAAAAAGTCAACAGACATCATGTTTCCAAATTGCATGGCAAGATTATCCACTTTTAATAGCTGTGCAACATGTCCCTGATTCCTTACCTTGCAAGGTGTATTTACCACCTTTTATGGGAAACTTGCTGGAGTGTTGAGATTCTATGATGCTCATCTGTGAGAACTTCCCATGAGAGGGTTAGAAAAAGTTTGAGTATAGCTTTAATGACCTTCGCTGAAAAGAAATATATCTTTAGTGCTTATCTTTGAATTGCCTCCGCAAAGGAAAGAAATTTAAAAATAAAATAACATGGATTAAGAAAATGTCAAGTATGTACTTACAGTTTGTGAGTAGAAATTTCTGGTAATCTTATTAACCTTTTATCTGGTCAATGAGTGGGGAAATGCCAATCGTAGGAAAATGGAGTTAATTATGATTGTGTTTAAGTGAATGTGCAGGTTGAGTCTTGGTAAAGTTCATCCAAGTTGAGATCAGCAGTTTATATTGTTTATTAGACAGGGTTATTGTGCTAGATTGTTATTGAATATCACTTTGCTGTAAATAGTTTCCGATAGGTAAATCTTCTCGATTCTTATATAAATGGAAAGAAATGCAGAAATCAATTTTATATGTATCTTTCTAAATGCTTCACAACAGAAAAAATGAGAACAGCCTTAGTCTTGCTTTGCACAGGCTGTTTCTGCTATGTTACTCAGACTTGGGGGATAAGTGTCTGATATGGTTGTATGTCTGATAGGGGAACGTTCAATTTTTTCTAAGTTTTTTCTTGTATTTAGAGGGTCCGCCTCCATATCCATGTCTATCATATATGTGTCAGACACATGTAATTCAAGGAAAGTGAAGAGTTGCAGTAACATGGTTTTCTAAATTTGAACATTCAAAAGTTCTGGCACACACACCAAAAAAAAAAAAAGAAAAGAAAAAAAATCCTGCAAAGTAACAAAAGATAGAAGAAATTTGAACTGAAGAGCAATGAAATCATTCTCATAAATTCCTTTTGGAATTTGGTAAGATCTGCAGTTATTGTATTTTCTTTGGAATAATGCTAGAACATAGACAAGCATTTAAACACATGAATACACATGCATACTTGTGAGCGCTCCCAAGAGTGCATGTTTGTGACCATTGTAGTGCCTCTAATTTCTTTTCTTGGTTATAGTGTTTTGTTTCGTTTATAATATATATCTTGACTTTGATTCTTTGCATTAACTCTGAATATTTGGAAGATAGTAAAAATCAGAAGTTAGCTTATCACCATTTTCAAAAAATGTTTCTCTAATAAAATTGCCTCGTGAAGGTATCGGAAGCATCTGTCAGCAGAAACCGCAGTACCATTATTGTGCCTGCAGGAAGTACCCGGGATGAAGGGTGGGCAGCGTTCAGGAACATATTGGCAGAGATCAATGAGGCATCACGGCTTTTCATATTGCCTAATCAGGTATCTTTGTGCTACATCCATATGCTCCTTCCATTCCAGTTTCTCTGCCTTCATTTTTCCATATTGTGTTATTTAATTTGTCGATCTGGTTGTGGTTGTCTATATGGGTTTTCTGAAACAGCAAAGTTCTGAACCTTCAGAACGTCTTGTTGGGCTTTCAGATGATGTAGGGGCTGGCTTCATATCTGGACACAGTAGCCAGCCTGCCCCGACTTCTGAATTGAATGTAGACAGATCAGTTGATTTGCCAGCGCAAGATGAAATTGGTAACATGGGGGTTTCAAAGGTGATCAGAGCTGATCAGAAGAGGTTTTTCTTTGATCTTGGGAGCAATAACAGAGGACATTTCCTGAGGATATCTGAAGTATTCTCTCTCTCCTGTTCATCTTTCTTTCTTTTCTTCCATTTTTTTAATAAATTGAATTAAAAGGTCCAGGCATGGATTAAGTTGATAATGGGATGGTTCGACAATTGCAGGTTGCAGGTTCCGATCGGTCTTCCATTATTCTACCACTGTCAGGGCTGAAGCAGTTCCATGAAATAGTGGGGCATTTTGTGGAGATTACAAAGGATCGCATTGAAGGAATGACCGGTGCAAATGTTCGAACAGTGGATCCACCTCAAAGGTGAATGCCAGTGGAACATGGTGAATTTGGTGAAATAAAAAATTATGATTCTGTCAAGTTTGCTTCAAAGCCTCTAATAGCTGTTTGATCAGAGATGCAATTGTGGTCTTAGTTGCGCTCTGCTATTTTCTTCGCTTCTGCTCTCCATTCAAGCCTGAAAATAATCCGATTTTTTATCTGTTTGATTAACAGAGAAATATCGGAGCTACTTGTGAAGCTTAGTTTGATAGGAATAACGGACAACAATTGGGTAGTTGTAATTGTCAGTTTGATAGTGTGGCACCCTCATTACCTTTTCAATAATGCTTATTCAGATGTGTGTTTTATTCAGTCTCAGTCTTGGAAGCAAACACTGATGCAATGTTAATTTTTAATTTTAAACAAATATAGCTTGGAAGGGTTGCACTGTGATTTCTTGGCAGTTTTAATGTGTTCTACTTGCAGAACTGAAGGTGAGGTTCAAACCTAGTAAGGAAACATTATTTCATGGACATCCAAAATTAGAGGCATTAAGTCTGACTCTTTGTGGATCCGTCACATTACGTCTTTATCCTAACGTGTTTTCTCTGCACAGCCTCTGCAACCCGCGGTGCCTGAACTGATAGTTGGGTCGGGTTTCGAAAGCTAAGGGCTGGAGGCAAATGCAAATGGTTGAAGGCCGAGGAGGTGATTGAATTCGTTTCTCTTATAGAATGGGCTTAAGGCCCATAACATAAAATAGTCGCTGTCACGTGTCTCTTACTGCTGGCTGTTCTCGGAATCTAAAGCCTCTGGAGAGCCTGATTGTCATTTCCAAGAAAGACATAAACCGATCAGCTGCCTTACACAATGCAATGTACATTTCGGAGCTACATCCCATGTCCTACAAACAAGCTCTAACTTTTTGATCCGTTTTCTAATGTAATATGATTATAAATAATGTGATTATAAATAATATTATTACAAAGAAAATAACATTACAGTATTTGATTTATAAATATTTTTATGAAAATAAAATATTAATTTTTAAAATTACCTTTAATTATTAAAATGTAAATATAATATATTTGTATTTTTTTATTGTTAATTTTTATATACTATCATTTCTTAAATATATTTTTAATACCATATTTTATTTTTATTTCTTAGTATAACCTTATATATTTTATTTTCATTTCTTAATATAAGTTTCTATATTATCTATTTTATTTTAATTTCTTTAAAAAGATAATATAAATTTTATTAATAGTCACTATGACTACTGAGAATAATAAAAAGACATCCATGAAAATCTATATATAAAAAAAATCAAATTATAACATTGCAAAATATTTTTAATAAAGTAATAAAATTGAAAGATAAAAATATCTTTAATAACATTGCAGAGTGCAATGTAATATGATTACATTAGTTTTGGATTGCAATCACTTGTGGTTACATTGCAATATTACATTGTGATAGTTTGTTATAAAACAAACACTGTAATATAATTTAATTGGGTATATTACAGGAAATATGTTCTTATTTCCCTCATACCAAACACTACCTTAGAGCTAACGGTCAATACGGTGTGTAAATAGTAGGTTTGGTGTTAAAAATTCTAAAAATAAAAAAAAATTGAACTTATTTTATGTAAAGATTAAATCAAATTGAATTATATACTTAACCTGATTGATCGAACATTGAACTACTTTGAATTTTTTGGTTAGTTTCAAAAAATTGAACTGAAGCAACTCTTTTACAAAATTTTACCAAATATTAAGAAAATATATTGTGAGCTTTATAATTGATCCTATTTTAAGATGATAAAAACAAATAATCAAATGCAAATTGAAAAAGATTAACATTCATTAAAACTCTCTAAATGTTCAAGAAAACTTTGGCCAAGTGTTTTACAAGGTTGAAAAGTTTAAAAACATCTTAAAAACAACCTCTCAAGGCATAAGTGTTGAGACTTCATATAGCGGCATTGAGACCTACCAAATCAGAGAGAAAATTAACAAAGGCTGAAGGGTTAGGTATTGAGACATCACTTTAATGTATTGAAAACCTAAGCAACCTAAAAGCAAAATTATGAAAATAGGGGAGTAAAGTATTGAGACATGAGCAAACAAAAGCATTATTATGTTTGGCAAAGTATCGAGACATAGTGGATAAGAATCGAGACATGAAGAAACAAAAGCATTTTGTGAGTTATAGTATCGAGATCTCAATTACAAGTATTGAGATCAAGCTAAAAGTATCAATATCTGACCGGGATGTATCGAGACATCATTGAAATGAAAAAGAGCAATATAAAGCAAGTATCGAGATTTTTATCGAAGGTATTGAGAGTTGACCATTCCCAAACAAAAAAGAATCGAGACCTTGAGGAAAGTATTGAGACCTATCACTTGACAAGTGGTTGTAACAGCAAATTTTGTATTATATAAGGCTTCAACGGCTCTTAAAACATTGAAAAGGTATAGATTGATGTTTGAAACACATTTATGACTAAGACAAAAAGTTGAAAACATTCCAAAAGAAAGAGAATCATCTTAACAACTCAAAAACTTCATTTACTCTTTCTTAAACTTTAAATTCCTTTTCTCTCACATTTATTAGAGCTTTAAAATTCTATCCACTCTTTTTGCACATTTAAAAAGCCTTGTATAGCTAATCAACCTACTAAAGGCATCTCAGCTATTTATTCATCTTCATTGTTAGCTTTATTCTTGTTTCGACATGACAAAATTAATTGAACTTAAAAAGCTTTGGAAATGAATGAAAGCTATTTTTGAAAATGAAGAAAATCCTTAAAGGAATGTTAAAGCTGAACTTAAAGGAAAGATTGATAACTATATTATATAGAGTTATTTTGACATATTTTGGGGGCTTAAGTAGTTAGATCTTTAAGATTTTAAGTTCAATCATAGCACTTTAGGTGTTTTTCTAGTTTAAGTTTGATTACATGTTAAGGAGTTAATTTAAGTTATTTTAGTTAAATTTTATGTTATTTTGTTTTAAATTACTTTAATGGTATTTTCTTTTATTGTTTTTCTAGGGAATTCGATGAAAAGGGTTCATTTGATGAAAATCTGTGCAAGTATGGTGATAGCTTTATTGTTATATGTTATGATATTTTGACTATATCTCTCTATATAAAACTCCAAATGAAGTGATTCTTAGACCATTAGAACATTATGAGAAAGGGATACAACTTTTATGTGTACCGCTTCACCTAGTTCTGACCGAATCATAGTCAAAATATTTGTCTAAGTCGAAGCATTGCAATAGTATGCATGGACTGAACATGATGTGGTATTTGGCGCATATCTTTCACTCTAGGAGTTCAATTTATGTGATTCTTGAGCCATTACAAAGTTGAGTGACAGCGATAAAACTTTCATGCTTACCACTTTGTCTAGTTTCGAAACATATCGAGGTGAAAATTATGTTGGACGATGCATGATAGATGTGGTTTTGCACAAGGTAGTAGGGTTACTGAGGCTGTAGTGCTGAAGGAACCATCGCTGCAGCACTAGAAATTTATGACTGCAGCGCTAGGCTAGATGGGCACATCGTACAAAAACTTAAGAGCACGGCACCACGGCATTGAAGAAGTACCACTATGATGCTACCAAAGTTTGTCTTAGAGTTGCTGCACTACCCTAAGTTTCCAAAAATAAAAATTTGACTGAATTTTAGAAATTAGGTTACTTGGAGCCTATTTAAGGGACTTCTTTTAGAAGTTTAAGGGGGAAGGCAGTAAGCAACTATTCTAGAGATTTGCAGACAAGAACAAAGCAAGAAAACAAGAAAATTTGAGAGAGAATTGAGATTGCAAAGCTTCAATAATTAGTTTCTTTCTCTATTCTTGTGTTTTTCTTATTTTTTTTCACTTGAATTCATGGCTAAATTTCTTTAGATATTGTTTTTACTACATATTATGAGCTAAACTATTTTTTGGGATTATGGTGGATTCAACATGTAGTTTGAATATTAGTTTCTCTTATATTTATCATGTATGGGAGCAGTTTTGCTTATTCAAATTTGTTTTTAATGCTTTTGATTATCTGGTCAACAATTAACTGACTTGTAAATTTAATTGAGACTCGACAGAGAGATTTTAGATTGGATTAAGGTTTGAATAGTGTATGTTCACATCACTTAGGTGATTTGATTCTTGATTTGGGTAGACGTACCCCAATTGCCATACATAGCCATATTAGAACACTTGTTTAATGAACTTGTTTCATTGATTCCTATAGACATATAGTGAACTAATTAAGTTAGGTATTTGTACAAGTAACTCGATGGAGACTTGTCCATAGCTTTGAATTCTAGGTTAGTAAAACTATCCAAGAAAGATAGATAACAAGAAAAGCTAGTATCAGATGAAATGTTGAATGAACCCATAATCCTAGGTCTTTAAGATATCGTTTTTCTTAACTTATTTAGTTTGTTAGCTTATTTAGTGTTGATTTTTAGCTATTTTTAATTAATTTTTCTTCAATTTGTGGATTACTTAAATAAGATTAATTTATTTTATAATTTTAGTACTTAGTAAAACTTTAGAAACAAATCCTTGTGGGAACAATAATCTAGACTTACTATCTATATTACTTGTTTGATAAGTATACTTGCATGTGCAAATTCAACAATAATCTTCATTGTTAGCTTTATTCTTGTTTTGACATAACAAAATTGATTGAACTTAATAAGCCTTGAAAATGAATGAAAGATATTTTTGAATATGAAGAAA